GCTGTGTTCATCCAGTTCTACACCTTGTTATCTTACAAGGACATCCAGGTCCTTTTATATGTCAACATTTCCTCATCTATGACCATTGAACTAATATGCTGTTGTTCTGTTCTTCCGGCCAAAGTGGATAATGATCATGGATTTAATAGAGTTTGATTGCTACAATTAATCAGCAAATCCTACACTGTTACATGATCTAGCTACCAACACGATAGAAAGTCAATCAAACTTTTATTATCTGGCAGTTCCTGTGTTCCTATGAAAAGCCTCCAATTCCATTAAAAACTTCCCCTGTCGGGCAGAAGATACAGAAGTTTGAACACACAAATACACACCAACAGGTTCAAGAACAGCTTCTTCCCTGCTATTATTAGACTGCTGAACCGACCTCTCTAATTTCAAATCTAATGTTGATCTTGCTTTTGTGCATCTCCTGTGCAATGTAACCTGAATGCCTCATTCTAAGCACCCCACAATCTATATGTCCTTGTTTGCTATGATCAGCCTACACAGGTCACAAAACAAAGCTTGTCACTGTACTTAGGCCCATTGAACTACAGTAAATCAAATCACATCAAAATTCAGATTTGGGACGAGAAACAAATACTGGTGAACAAAATCAAAGAAAGTGTTTCAGGAGAAATCAGGTAACCACAATGAGTAAAATTCAGATGGTCTACTAGATTAGTATTTGTTCTGCCTGAGCTACTATGTGGTGCCAACCTTTGCGGTGAGTAAGTGGGAAGAAATAGAGTTTGAAAAAGTTTTATGTGTCCTGTGGTTCAGCTCCATCATCCAGTGGACATGGTGCCCTCCACATCTGCAGTACACAATCGTAACCCAATTGGAAACTGAATTATGGGCAAGCCCACAGACTTGAAAAGGTTGCTTTAAGAAGGGCAGTCCAGCATTACTTTTCCTTTTGGAAATCTAACAACATTCATCTTGCCGGTGACTTCCCACTGAATGATCGATCATAGAATGTAGAACTATACAGCATAGGAACGGCAACTTCAGCCCACCATGTTGTGCCAAACATGATGCCAAACGAAACTAATCCCTTCTGCGTGCACTTGGTCCTTATCCTCCATTCCTTGCATATTCACGTGTTTATCTAAAAGCCTGTTAAACGCACCTAATGTACCTGCCTCCACCACCACCCCTGGCAGCGCATTCCAGACTCTTAACACTCTGTAAAAAACCTGCCCCTCACATCTCCTTTGAACTTTCCCCCTCTCACATTAAAGCATGCCCCTAGTTTTAGACATTTCAACTCTGGGAAAAAGATTCTGACCGTCAACCCTATCTATGCATCTCATAATTTCATCGACTTCTATCAAGTCTCCCCTCAGCCTCTGACGCTCCAGAGAAAACAACCCGAGCTTTTCTAGCCTCTCCTTATAACTAGTACCCTGTAACCCAGGCACCATCCTGGTAAACCTCTTCTGCACCCTCTCCAATGTCTCCATATCCTTCCTGTAATGTGGCAACCGGAACTGAATGCAATACTCTAAACATGGCCTAACCAAAGATCGATCGAAAGAAAACTGTTAACTCTCACCTGATTATCTTCTGCTCCTGAGGGTCATATAGAGAGATGAAGAGCTCAGCTTCCTCTCCAATTTTACAGACAAAATTGCGGACCCAGATGAACAGAGCGTTGGTGGGCGAAGAGGTTAAGCGAGCAAACCGATTGTATTCACTCTGGTTCTGAAACTGTGAAAAGGGCAGAAATATTAACATCAACATCAGACTGCTGTCCCCGGTCATACTAACAAGCAAAATTAGATGTGCGTTATTTTCATAAGTGGGGAGTGATGGCCTAATGGTAATATCACTGGACTGTTAATTCACAGACCCAGATAAGGCTCTGGGGACCCGATGGCAGATGGCGAAATTCGAAGTCAATAAAAATATGTGGAATTAAGAATCTAATGATGACCATGAATCCACTGCCGATTGTCGGAAAAACCCACCTGGTTCACTAATGCCCTTTAGGGAAGGAAACTGCCATCCTTACCTGGTCTGGCCTACATGTGACTCCAGACCCACAGCAATGTGGTTAACTCTTAACCACCCTCTGGGCAATTAGGGATGGGCAATAAATGCTGTCTGGTCAGCAATGCCCTCATCCCGTGAATGAATAAAGGAATTCTCAGCGGTTCAAAATTTAAACTATTCAAATGGTGCATTGACACTGTGAGTTAAAATGCCCACTTCTAGTAAGTGACTCATTTTCTTTGTGATAGACTCATTTTCAGCTGTGACAAGTCGTATTTTTAAATAATATTAAATTAATGCCTGTTTGTGATGATCAATGACAACTTCACATTCTGTGAAACACAAATGAGTTTGAGCTGAAACTTGGTGTAGTGATGGAGTCTTGCGGATGGGGAAGGGGTGTGACTTTTCAAAACAGATCCAATTTTGTTGGTGCAGTTTATGATCGAATTGTCAGCTGAACCTGGAATAACACCACCACCACCACAATGACTCTGACTTCCCACCGAAGACCGAGTCAGCACTGGATTCTTGTGGTGGGAGCCAAAAATTTACAGCATAACAAAAATTCAAGTAGCACTTTCACTAAGCACCTCTTTAACGGTACCAAGTGGTCTAGGTTGAGCTCTTGCTCCTATTGCAAACCCTTTTGTAGAATGTTCAATTCAGACATTTCATTCCAGGACAAACCTCCTTGTCCTAGTCAGATTTCCCTCTTCTGGTTTATCCTTTACCTACATTACAACAGTCATGATTTTCCAAAGCTAATTGGCTTTTAAATGGGGTCTGATGGTCATGGAAAGCATTATATACGGGCAATTTTTTTTATTTGATTTGTTCTTTTTCCCCACTTTGTTTCATGTGCAGGCGTATCAAAGATGTGTCACCAATCCAATTTTGAAAGCTTGTTGGTTTTGACTGCTGATAATAATCATTGCCACCGAGTCAGAATACAGGCTCAAGGCACACACCGGGACTTAATCCACTAACCTAAACTAACATTATAGTCTAATTCGAGCGAATGCTACACTATCACAGCTTCTGATGAACAATGAGCCACTTTATCATGTGGAAAGTGTCACATGGCAAAATTCAAGGAAGACAAGTGTAGATTTTCAAGTTTCTTTGGTAAGCATTTGTTAGTTAGCATACAGTCATAGCAATATATAGCACGGAAACAGATCCTTCAGTCCACCCCGTTTACGCCAACCAGATATCCTATGTAAATTTAGTCCCATTTGCCAGCATTTGGCCCATATCCCTCTGAACGCTTCCTATTCCTATACCCATCCAAATGCCTTTTAAATGTTGTAATCGTACCATGTGCACTAAAATCATATTAACTATTTATTTATTGCATTGATTAAAGGTTGCCTATTATACTCATGCTAATAAACAAGTGACTCCAGTTTCAGAGTAATTGTTTTTATTCAGTCATCGGATGTGGGCGTCTCTGGCTGCCCATCCCTAATTACCCCTTGAGAAGGTAGCACCTCGTACACACTGCTGATTTTTTTTATTCGTTCAAGGATGAAGGCACTACTGGCTAGGCCAGCATTTATTGTCCATCCTTAATTTTCCAGTGGACAGTTTAGTCAGCCTGGAGTCACATGCAGGCCAGACCAGGTAAGGATGGCAGTTTCCTTCCCTAAAGGACATTAGTGAACCAGATAGGGGGTTTCCTGATAATCAGCAATTCGGGGTCATCATTAGACTCCTAATTCCAGATTTTTATTGAATTCAAAATCCAAAATCTGCCATGGTGGGATTCATACCCAAGTCCCCAGAAAATTGCCTGGGTTGCTGGATTAACAGTCCAGCGATAATGCCACTGGGACATCACCTCCCCTCATATATTGTTACTGAGCATCCATGATGATTTACTGAACATTTGTAGATGTGACATCAATCATGTGGGCTGCTTTGTCCTGGATGGTGTCAAGCTTCTTGAGTGTTGTTGGAGATGCAGCCATCCAGGCAAATGAGGAATATTCCATCACACTCCTGACTTGTGCCTTGTAGCTCGTGTATAGGCTTTGGGAGTCAGGAGACAAGTTACTAACTGCAGTGTTCCTAGCCTCTGACCTGGTCTTGAAGCTACTGTGCTTATTTAGCAAGTCCACTTGAGTTTCTGGTCAAGAGTAAGCCCAAGCATGTCAACAGTGGGGACTTGAGTGATGGTAAGGCCATTCAATATCATAGAGCAGTGGTTAGGTCATGCGGCACAAATCTTACTTGTTACTTGTCAATTAAATGCTTTGGAACATTCCTTGGTTGGTAAATTCAGGCACTTCTTTCAATTTGTCCTTTTTCTACTCAAGATTCTTGCTCATCACAGTAGCTATCAAATCAAATGTAAGAGACACTCAGGTTTTCAATGGTCTTGTTGGTCCTTCAAGGAGGAACCATTTCTGCTTTTACAAGTTACTGGATATTCAATCAAAAGCAGGTTTCTTCCTACATCCAGCTACATTTTCATAAAGATCCATTTGACAAGATTCTAGCTTCCCAATTCTACTAATGACAAATTGTTTTCCCAATTCCAATACATTCTGGTGAGCAATATCTCACAGTAGCAAGCTCCTGTTGAGAGATTTTCCATGGATAATATAAGTAACACATGTTTGTAGACTTTCAGAGACTGATTATTAGTGAAAACATTGTATACACCTCAATTTTAATCTTCCAATTTCCATGATTAAGGAACCGTTCCCTTCAAACGATAAAACTGTTAATAAAGGAAGACAGAGAAACACCAGGGATGTATAGCCCGATTAGCCGAACATCTGTTGTCCAAAAGTAACGGGAGTCTATTTGTAAGGATTGGGTAACTAAACAACTTGAAAATTTTAAAAGACAGCCAGTATTAATTTGAAAAAGAGAGGTCACATGCCTGACAAATCGCATTGAATCAGTGCAGAGAAAACAGAATTAATGTTTCAAGTCCAGAGACTCTTTCCACTCTGAAGAAAGGTAACTGTTTTCTGCTCACAGATGCTGCCAGACCTATTGAGTTTATATAGCAATTTCTGTTTCTTTCCTTCAGATTTCCGGTGTCTGCAGTTCTGTTTTCTCTCATTCAATCTTGTTTTGAAGAGGTGATTAGTATAATGGTCAGGAGAATGTCTTTGGATGTTAGTTGCGTGGACTTCCAGAGGCATTTGATAAAAGATGACTGATTAAAGTGGATGCTCACAGAACTGAAAGCAACCGAGTGACCTAACTAGATAGTTGGCTGAATGGCAGAAGGCAGAGATTAGGAATAATGGGCATGTGCTGTAAAAGGCAAAGTGTGCTGTGAAGACCTGTGTTGGGCCCTTAACAATTCACCATATGTATTAATAACTCAACTGATGGAATGGGAAAGCCACAGGGATAGAGGGAAACTAATTTTGTCTATAAACCTAAGCCAGACCTTTCAGGAGTAAAGCTTGGAACCATAGAGCATATTCGAGGTTTGATGCCTTTTTCAAGGAATGGAAAAATCATGCTAGATTTGTTCCTCATTTTAACTCAGAAGTTGATAGATTTTTATGCAGCAACAGTGTGAAGAGATATGAGCAAAGATGGACATATCACAGAATCAGTACAGTCCAGAAGGAGGCCATTCGGCCCACTGTGTCTGTACCAGCTCTTCAAATGAACATCATTACCTCATGCAAATCCCTGGCTTTCTCCCAATCCTGTTGCACATTATTTCTACCCAAATAATCATTCAAAACCCTCTTAAATGTTTCAATTGAACCTGCCTCCACCATATGTCCACACAATGCATTCCATACCCAACCACTCTTTGACTGAATATGTTTTCCATCACCTCACATTCACTGTTTCTCTTGTACAGAGTTAGGATATAGATCGCATTCCCATTGAATGGCAGAACAGGCTGGAGGAAATAAATGATTGGTTATGATTACTGTGATGAAAACATTCTGGAAATAGGTTGGCATTCGTGGAGAAAAACAGTTAATGTTTCAGGCTCCTGGCCTCCAGTTGGTGCCAGGGTTTTGTGGGGGAGGGGGAAGCGGTCACAGAGAACAAGCTGGTTGCCATGTGGACCCTATGCACAATGCAATTCTGGAAAGTTTGACCTCTTACCGTCTCCTCCCTCATTAATTCTGTGATGTGATGGGTAGCCTTCTTGTGTGCTCGGAATAAGCTGATGATACTTGTCTGATCCGGATCAAGAATATTTCCATTCTCGTCTCTAACCACAAGATCCAATTCCAGCATCCTGAAACAGAACGAGATGATGAACTGGGAAACAGTCTCATCGAAGGTACAGAAGTGAGAGTGGACTTGTTTTGTTCTTGGCTTTTGGGGCAATAAATGATCACTTGGAGCATATTAACAAAACATTAGGGGCTTACTCAACTTTGTATTAATCATCTCTGAGCCAAGCCCAGCTTTCAGTGAGATCCCATAATATATAAAAAAAACCACTCTCAAGGTCAGATCATACATGGTTGACCCATCAGGTGGAATTGACCAAAATTTCAGGTAGCTTTTTTTTTGTCTTCATCATCTGGGAATCTGACACAGCAAATGATGTCTCTTTTTGGAAGCAACTAAATTTCTATTCCATTTATTTACTATTGAAATGTACTTACTGATAATGGAAGCACATTGAGAATACAGTAGGTTTTTAATACATTTCCTTTACTCAGATCCCAACCCACCCAGCTTCCCCAGTCCAAGCCATTACCAATATTTGACACACTTGGAAATTCTAAAGTTAAAATCTTCTAATAAGACATGAAACTTTAAATCCAGAGCCAGGCCATTCAGGACAGAAGCTTTCTTATACTTCTCGATATAAAGGAAGTGCAGAACTCTCAGAAAAAGCAATAGAGTCCAAGCTCAAGTCATCATTTTCAATCTGAAAGGGATAGGGACTCATTCACTAAAGGTATAAAACAATATGATGCCAAGGCAGGCAGATGGATTGCAAATAAATAGGTGATGATCTGATTGAAAGTCATAATGGGTTTGAACAGCCCACTATTATTCCTATAGCAGCCGGTAACGACCAGCTAAGTATCTGGTATGAGTTCACTAGGTTGATTGGATGGCTGGTTTCGAATATATAATGACACCAACAGCACAGCCTCAAATCCCATCCCCACAGGGGAGGGAACAAGGTGTAGAGCTGGATGAACACAGCAGGCCAAGCAGCACCAGAGGAGCAGGAAGGCTGACGTTTCGGGCCTAAACCCTTCTTCAGAGGAGGTGATGGCCTAGTGGTATTATCGCTGGACTGTTAATCCAGAGACCCAGGGACCTGGGTTCGAATCCTGCCATGACAGATGGTGGAATTTGAATTCAATAAATATCTGGAATTAGAGTCTAATGATGACCATGAATCCATTGTCGATTGTCAGGAAAAACCCGTCTGGTTCACTAATGTCCTTTAGGGAAGGAAACTGCCATCCTCACCTGGTCTGGCCTACATGTGACTCCAGACCCACAGCAATGTGGTTGACTCTGAACTGCCCTCTGGGCAATTAGGGATGGGCAATGCTGCCTAGCCAGCGACACCCTCATCCTGTGAATGAATAAAGAAATAAAATGCTGAGATCACCATGAAGGTCCCTCCTTCTTGACCTCTCCTCTCGTTTGAGGCATGGTGACTCTCAGGTTAAACCACCATCAGTCGGTTCTCTTCTATGAGGAACACATCCCAATGGGACTATGGTGACTTTTACTTACTAATTGCTAACTACATTAGTATGAGACTGGAGTCACATTAAGGCCAGGCCAAGTAAGGGAAGGCATCCTGACCTAACAGACCTTAGCGAACCAGCTGAATATTAACAACAATCTGTCAGATTCACGGTCACTAAGCCAGCTATTTATTGCTGCTAAATTAAACAGAATTCATTTTCTCACACACTGCCGTGGTGGAATTATTCAGGATTCATTGTCATGATCAGCTCTGGTAACATCAACCACTACATCACTGTACTCTTAAAGGGGAGATTAATTCACTCAAATGCGTCAAAGCAGGCTGTAACTACAAAAAGAAAACACAAACTTCAAACATACTTGTTGCCAAAGTCTATTTTTGTGGTGACTTCTTGCTTCAGTTCCTTCAGTTCATCCTGTGGCAGTGTTCCTGACAGAAGTTGGGATCTCCTGTCCATTAAGTCGCACATCATTGAAGTAACTTGCCGAAACTTGGAAATCTGACCAGTCTGAAATAAGCCCCCCCAAAAAAAAGACACGATTAATGGACATCAAAATAAAGCAGACAACTTTGGATGCTGAACCTATGAAACAAACAAACACAGAAATTGCTTGAGAAATTCAGCAGCTCTGCCAACATTCGTGGAGAGAAAACAGAATAACATTTTCTGTCCTGTGAGCCTTCTTCAGAACGGTTAATGGGCATGCTTACAATTGGGGTTCCTGTTAGATTCAATTGCAAGATTAAAAGGAGTATCCTTGTCTTGAGTTTTTTTTTAACAGCCTTAATGGGAAGAAAATAAAAATGAAAATTATTCTGAATGGTAATCAAACCTTGGTGAGGCTCCATCTGACTTGCCGTGTAGGTTTCTGATCTCACTATTCCAAAGAGGGCACAGAAAGTGCTAAAGCAATTCACAAGGTTGAGTTATCATCATTCAAAGGTACATGCATCCCCTCAAACTTCTCTATATTAAATCCCATATGCCACTTATCTGCCCATTCTGCTTGCCTATCGATGTCATACTGCAGACAATTCATATGATCCTCACTATTTGCTACATCTCCCTAATCCTAGTGGTATCATTGGCAAATTTTGAAAATTTACCCTGCATTCTCAGATCCACCAAGCTTACAAAAAAAAGGCATTAGTCCTATTAATGACCCTTAAAAGACAGCACTATCCACTAGCCTTCAGTCTGAAAAAATATTATTTGCTAAGACTTGCTGCTTTCTGTACTTAAGAGCACTCTTTTTAGTCAATTGATAACTGATTCTCCTACAAATCTTTTCAGAAGCTTTTTGTGTGTTACTTCATCAAATGCTATCCTAAAATCAATATAAATCACATTCCTTTCATCAACCCTGTCTGTAACTTCATCAAAGTATGATCTGCATTATACAAATTCATCCCGGCTCTCTTTAATTAACTCTAATGTCTCCAAGTACAGATTCATTGTGTGATTCTGTTTATAAGGAGACTTCATGCCATTTATCAGAATAGATAAGCAGCAGGTCAGTTCATGCTATGTTACATGATACAACACTCCTGTAACAAGAGCTCTGAGTTTCCAATGATAATGGTGCTGAAACCATGAACATTCTGCATTATTGCTCCATTGAAACTTACAGCATCTTCCAGGAGACCGCACGAGTGTAAAATATTATGAAAATCCAAAAGGTATTCTGACGTTTCTGTTCTCCTTCAGAGGAAGATGGGCAATTGTTAAGTCACCCAGACTGCAGCCCAACATCAATCAATGAATTGGAAAAACTTCCATCATTATACTGTCAGTTTCACTGGAAAAGCTCATTACGCATAGAACATTCACCCAACATTTTCTGGATATGCTCACTGCCCTGAAAAGCTCGTTTTATGTTTGTAGAATCTCAAATTTCTTCTTAATGACAAAAACATCCAGATACATTTGGTTTAATTGTTTTTAAAGTTTGTGATTAAGGTCATATTAAATGCTGGAGCAGGCTCAAGGGGCTTAACTGTCTATTTCTGCTCCTAGTTCTTGTGTCCTAAGGTCAGTTGGAGATGGATGATCACTGCTGTGCTTCCCAACAGCTCATACATTCCAAGACCGAAGAATAAGTAGCTTTCCCTTTAACCCCACCAATCAAAATCATTAATTTTGCTATCTGGACTTTGAAATTAACAGTGAAGAGTAATTCCTGCTTTTAACTTCTTGATTTGCTGTCTGTGAGAATACATCAATGTGATTGACTGAGCACTCTTTTTGAGACATCACTGCTGCTGGATGTTTGGTGTCACATCTAAACTGTTGTTGGAATGGAGAATTCACACCATTGAGATCGCGGTGGTTCATCCATGAAATCAGCAGCAAGTGGTCTTACTCCACAACCGACTGCAAAATCGAAATCCAATAAAACAGCCCAATAAGGCACAGCATCACTTAATTTAATGACAGTAACAGCACATGAGATCCATTTCATTTAAATATTTTTATCTATAAAAATGAATTAGAAATGCAGATCAAATTGCATTAGTGTCATCTCACAGAAAAAAAAAGTCAGAATTGCAAATTACCTCAAAAATTCTCAGATTGACTGCAAGGCAAAAGTTATAATTAAGCTCTTAGCACTAATTAAGCTGGTATTCATGTCTCAGTATGTCATTCGACTGTAATCAGTTAATATAGAACAGGGCAGCTGCAGTCTCTGAAACATTTCTGTCTGCTAATTCTCACATTACATTTTTAATTGGCCTTTTTGTAAGGAAGCACTTGAGGGGTTGTGAATCTCATTACTTTTCTTCTGCAAAAAAAAAAATAGGCTGGCATCATGTCGATGCTTCAGAAAGTGTGCACAACAAAGGAAGTGATGATGTTAAATGATTAAATCTCAGTGGCCTTGAACAGCTCACTGTTGGTGAATTACTGCTGCTTGCTTTTTTTGGCCGTGTCACAGTATCTGATGTCAGCTGTGGGCAGCCTGTCGAAGGTAACAGATCTCATCCCCCTCTCCCAAACTCCTTTGGAATCGATCTTCATCAATCCTTGTTTAAACAGGAAACCTTGCTTTCCCATTTTCCAGTCACCTAATTCATTGGCTTTTCTTTATTGCTTAATGAAAGATTGTTAACCAAATTAGCAAAGAAAATTGTACCCCTTTCTTTGGGACAGTTTGGCTTGACATCAATCACACTGAGAGACTGAAGAAGATGGGTTAATTTTCTGGTAATGGAGAAGGTTGAGTGGACAGTTAATAAACAGCAGTTTTGGTTCGTTATTTAAGGGAAGATGGCTCACAAACAACTTAACTTTCTTTTTCACTTTACATCAATGATTTAGACTGGGGCAGCATGGTGGCACAGTGGTTAGCACTGCTGCCTTACAGCACCAAGGACCCAGGTTCAATTTCACCCTTGGGCAATTGTCTGTGTGGAGTTTGCACACTCTCCCCATGTGAGCAAGGGTTCCCTCCAGGTGCTCTGGTTTCCTCCCACAGTCCAAAGATGTGCAGGTTAGGTGAATTGGCCATGCTAAATTGCTCCTTTTTATCCAAGGATGTCCAGGCTAGGTGCATGAGCCATGGGAAATGCAAGGTTACAGGGGATAGGGTAGGGTTTGGGTCTGGGGGGGAGTGGGGAGGCTTGGTATGGACTGGATGGAATTCTATGATTCTGGAAGATAAGGGGAGCGAAGGCACAGGAGTTAAATTCACCAAGAGAGGGAAGTAAGTGAGTTGTGAAGGAGACTGCAGACAGATAAACATTTGGAAGACAGCATATAATGTGGGAAAATGTGAAATTGCTCACTTTGGCTGGAAGAGTGATGAGGCACAGTATCACTTAAATGGAGAATGACTGTAGAATTCTGAGGTGCAGAGGGATTTTTGAGCATGAATCACAGGAAGGTAGTTCCAAGTACAGTACAAATTCAACATGGCTAATGAGATGATCTCCTTTTTGTTATGGGAGGAGTTGGACATAAAAGACACTATGTTTAGGTTATGCCAAGCATTAGCAACAGCGCATCTCAAACACACAGTGTAGTCCTGATTTCCTAATTTAAGGAAGAACGTAAATACATTGGAAGTGATCAGAGGAGGTTTACTAGGTTGATACCCAGAATGTCTTATGAAGATGGATTGAAGTGTGTTTGTTTTCACTGGAATTTAGAGGAGTGAGAGGTGACTTGATGGAAGTGTATAAGCTCTTGAATGGTCTTAACAAGAAAAGGGTAGACGTGAATTAGGAGGCACTTTTTCTCTCAGACAGTTGTGCAAGGTTAGAACACTTTGCCTCAGAGGCTGGTGAAGTGGGGTCCATAAGACCATAAGATATAGGAGCAGAATTCGACCATTCAGCCCATCAGGTTTGCTCCAGCATTTGATCATGGATGATATGTTTCTTAACCCCATTCTCCACACTTCTCCCCGTAGCCTCATGAAACAAGAACCTATCATTAAACATTTTAAAGATAGAGATAGATAGATTTTTAGAGTCACAGAGTTGTAGAGATGTACAGCACAGAAACAAACACTTCAGTCCAACATGCCTACGCTGACCAGATACCCTAAATAAATCCAGTCCCATTTGCCAGCATTTGGCCCATATCCCTCTGAACTCTTCCTATTTATATATCCATCCAGATGCGTATTAAATATTGTAATTGTACCAGCCTCTACCGCCTCATCTGGCAGCTCATTTCGTACATGTGCCACTCTCTGTGGGAAAAAGTTGCCCCTTAAGTCCCTTTTAAATCTTTCCCCTCTCACCTTAAACCTATACCCTCTAGTTTTGGACTCCCCTGCCCTGGGGAAATGACCTTGACTATTCACTGTATCCATGCCCCTCATGGTTTTGTAAACATCTGTAATGTCACCCCTCAGCCTCTGATGCTCCAGAGAAAACAGCCCCAGACTATTAAGCCTCTCCCTATAGCTCAAACCCTCTAACCCTGGCAACAGCCTTGTAACTCTTTTCTGCACCCTTTCAAGTTTAAAAACATCTTTCCTACAGCAGGGAAACCAGAACTGAACAGAGTATTCCAAAAGAGGCCTCACCAATGCCCTGTACAGCCACAACATAACCTCTCAACTCCGATACTCAATGCCTTGACCAATAAAGGCAAGTGTACTAAATGCTTTCTTCACTACCCTGTCTATCTGCGACTCCACTTCCAAGGAACTATGAACCTCCACCCCAAGGTCTATTTTTGACATGCAAGGGATTCAAACATTCTTGGGGGAAGATGGAAGTGTGGCATTCGATACACAAACAGATCAGCCATGATCTTATTGAGTGATGCAGAAGTGCTGAATGACTCATTCCTGCTCCTAATTCACACGTGCATGCTAGACATGTACAAAGCCTTGAGGGTTTTTTAAGGAGTAATCAGTAGGACGGATGGAAAGCAGAGGACTTGGATTTAAAGTAATTGGACAGAGGGCCAGAAGGGAGATGGGTAAATTTTATTTTATTTTAAGTAGTAGGTTATTATGATCTACAATGTACTACCTGCGCAGTATATTCTGC